CTCAGTAAGTGGCCCTCCGCCTGAAATAATTGCCTGCCCCAGCCCTATAAGAATAGCAAAGCTGATTAAGATAGCCAAATCAAGTGTGTATCATCAAAAGGCTTAATAACCAATGCAAAAACAAACCTGCTTGTTCTCATAAGAAACATTAATCTCTGAATATTCAAAAAACTGTATGTCATGCTCTACATGGAGCATGCCTGCCTACACCCATAGGCACACAACAGCATGGCAAGATGCCCAGTCTCTGAAATGCTCAGAATCAGCATTTCAGAATCTCAGGAATCCAGTCAATTTCACATTGTGGCTCTCAGTGGAGGATGGTTACCAAGGCCCAGACAGAAAGACATTGACAGAGCAATGGGGAGTTGGAGACAGGCAAGGGATTGCCTGTTTGCAATGCAAACCCAACCAAGATCTCAAGTTGAAATGATATTTTATCAGTCTCATACAACATCACCAACAACTGAGATTCAGAGCACTTCTACACATGCCCCTATGGCGCCGTTGTTACTGCGCTATCATTTAGTACTTCCTTTTAGAAGTACTAAAAGGACAGAGCGGTAACCGCCTGTACTGCACCGTGTGCGCCTGCAGTTACTTTCAGGCACTACAGTGCCATAGCAACGCACTATAATGAAGGAGCGCACTGCTACAGCACCATAGCTGTGACATCAGTTTTTGCTCACTGGCACTTCCTCACTGTAGTGCATTGCTATGGTGACGTATCATCACGTGTAGACATGTCCTCAGTAGAATAAATTCCTCCTTTAGTTCCACATCTGCAACACTTTGTCCCTGCAGATGACATGCAAGCAGGTATTGAATTTGGCTCACTCCCCTACAGATGAATCATTTCTTCAGTGTTAAGTGCAGCAAAAGGTGACAAAAAATATTTTCGTCTCTAAAGTAAGGACATTTTCACAAGCTGACATATAAATTATACACAGGAGTCCCATCATCCATCACTGAAATGCACAAAGGAATCAAATAAAGTCTGTGTTGCAGTGCACAGTAATACCAAACAGGTTCTAGACAAGAAATTAATTATTTCCACTTGACAACACAACGGCAATTTAGGGGGGGAAAGATTTATCCAGCTAGACTAAGAAACTGAGGCTGAACAGCTCCTACTTTTACAAAAACTGTCCCAGATGGCTAACTGCAAGTAGTATGGATGGAATGATTTATCTTAGGGTATGTTTAGATGATAAACCAGTTATATCAATTTAAAAGGTAAAAGGGCAGCTATCACATATTAAATTGATCCATGGAAACTGTTTCATATGTCTGCTTCTCTGCAGCAATACATAAAAGCCAAACCAGTGATTCTCAACCAGAGTGCAACAGCACTTGGGGTGCTGCTAGGTCCTTTGAAGGGTGCCATGCAATGTGAGGAGATAAGCAGGCAAGCACAGGCTCAGGCTTGTCCCTGCCTGGCCAGTCATCTACCCCTGCTACTATATAAATTAGCTTTTGAAACTGGGTGTCACTCAATTCATAAAAGTTATAGAGGGATGCCTCAAGTCCAAATTGACAATCACTGAGCTAACCTGTCACAATTTACTCCTGAATGAAACTTGTGCAAGTTATTGTGATTTAGCTTTTTACTTATGAGATAAAACAGATGCACAACACTGTTGCAATGGATCAGCTTATGCACACTCACAAGTAAGGGTGCACTGATAAAGATTTTTTTGGCCAATACCGATTACCGATTATTAACCAGCCATATCGGCTGATACCGATCCAATAGCCGATATGCAGCCCAGCAGCTTGGAGAGCAGCATCTGGCCAGTAAGTC